ATTTAATTTAATTGTGAATATTCAGAACAATTTAAAACCTAAAGCTCAAATTGAATTGAAATTTCAACCCTTTGAGATGAGCAAAAAAACATCATTAATCAAGCTTAAAACTGTCAATGAATTTAAATTGTTTGGATATTAAATTAACACCCAAGTGAACAAAAAACTGTTATAATCAACAATTTATGTTGACTGTTTGTGATTGAATTATAATTGATGGAAAGAAAGTTGATTGATTTAATAGTAATCATAATAAATGAATTGTTACAATTGAAATTGTAAAATGATATTTAGATTGAAATCAAAGTGATGATGATGATAAACATCAACATTTGCATAATGATGATGATGATGATGAGATGATGATGGTGATAATGTTTCTGATGTTGATGCTGATGAAAATGATGATAATGATTAGCTGATGATCCTGAAATAAGATAAGCAATCAAGTTAACATTTAATGTTAAACATTTAAACGAGTTGTTGTTGTACAAACCACAGTTAGAGATGAGGATGAAGATGAAGATGACGAGAAAGTATTTCTCTCTCTCTCTCTCTGTCTCTCTCTCGCTCTCGCTCTGTTGGATTAGCAAAGTAATAACATTTCATGAGGAGTCAAAGGGATGAGGATGCTAAAACTAAATCCATAGAGATGAAAATTGCTTAGCTGAAAAGCTAACGGGATAAAGTGACAAAAAGGGGGTTGAATTATTATTAATAATAATATCATTCCGACTGAACAATTGTCATTAAGATTGAAAGAGATTATCATGAAAATTTAAAGATTTCACATTTCTCCTTCTCTCTCTCATCATCATCATCATCTACTTTTCTATCTTAAGATAATCTTCCGCATCCTTATCTTCATCATCATCATCATCATAATCTGTATCCCTTTTTGATTTGAAACAATTTTTATATGATACATTTTATAAAATGAAAATTTGTAATGTGAATACTTGACAGAGTCTCAATAAAAGTGATGAGGATGAGAAGATGATGAAAAGATGAGGAATCATGAAGATGATGAGGATGAAGATGAGGATCCAAAGGATTGTCAACATTTTTAAGTATCATCATCTTCTTGATTGTCGCTATTAGATGTTAAAATAATCAGTGTAAGCACTTAAACAAGTTTTCACTTTCAGGATAAACTTTTCTCTTTCACAAAGATTATGATTATTGTTTAAATTTATCCTTATATCATTTATGGTGATGATGATGATGATGATTATGTATAATAATGATTATCATGATTTTCCATGAATTTTTCAGTTCCAATCCTATAAGTTTTTGTTCAACTTTAGATATTATTGTTTCATGGATAATGGTTATATTACAAATGCTTTTCTACTAAGGACAATATTCATGATTCCATAATGAATATGAAAACATTCATTCACGAAATTTGAACCTATCTTCCCGGAAGAAGATGAAAGATGAAGATGAAGATGAAGATGATAAACGAGAAAGATTTTCGATAGTTCGAAATTTAATAATAATAATTCCCTTCTTTTCTTTAATTCTCAAGTTCGAGGTTCGATTTTGTTTTTTTTTCAAATTTTCGAAAGTTTTTCTTTTCGAGTTTTCTATTCTTCTTTTTTTTTGGTCTTTTTGGTTTATATTCTGATAATGATGATGATTAAAAGTTCTGGTTGAATTTTCTTAGGTGAGTTGGTTAATTGTTGGTGTGTTTATGTTTATAATTAGTTAATTTAGTTTGAATTTAACTGTGAGGTTTTGGCTCTTGATTTTAATTGGGTTCGGTTAATTATCACTTTGTGAATCATATTTCTGATATTGTTTTAACGTTAAATTTTGTGAAGAAAAACAAAATTACAATCTAATCATTGAACTAACATGATAATGATTAAATTTAATTCAATTCATGAACCGGTTAAAAAAAAGGGTAAGCAAATGATTAAGTTAATTGTTGTACTTATAAAACAACAACAAAAACTTTGATTGTGATTTAAAACACAAGAAGTGAAAAAAAATTTTCCAAATCAAAATGATTATTAAATGAAAACTTTTACCACTTTGAAGTTTAATATGAATCATTTAGTATCACGTTAATTTAATTAATTAAAAGTGATCAACTGTGTATTTAAAGTAATTAATTAGTTGATTCAGTTTAGTGTAATCGTCAAATCAATTGACTGGAAACAAGAAACTGTTTAATTGGTTGAAACATCAATTTAAATGTTTTCGTAATCAACGGATTGTTGATTGTTAATCAATAGAGATTTTTGTTTTCCTCTCTTGCTTTCAATTAATCAACAATCAATTCATTCATTTAACAATTAACTTTGTACCTTTTCATTTTCTTGGCTTATTTATATATAAATTAAATTGTTACAATTTGTTTGTAATTGTTGAACTAAGTTAATGACAAGAAAATAAAATTAATCTGAAAAAAAAGTTGAGATATTTTATTTAATATAATCAATATTGATTGTCCTTAATTGTTTAGATTTTGATGATTATGATTATGATTATTGTATGAAATCAAATTTAATTAACATCCGGATCAAATTATAAACAAAGATGACTCTTAAATCATTGACATCAACAATTATTGATACTGATGCTGATCAAATTGAAGGTCAATCACAATTAATATTATTATTATTTTAAGTTAACTAATCATGAGCAATTTATTTGATTATTATTCAACTTTATTCATTGAAATTGATATTGAGAAATTGGTTAAATTGTTGTCAATTGTTTTTCTCTTCACTAGTTCATCGTACAGAAAGTAAATGATAAAACTTAATTGATCTTAATTGTTACGATTACTTCCTTCTTAAGAATCAAAAATAATATGTTACAAATTAACTGTTAATGATTAAACATTAATTCTTGTTATGCAAAGCTCATAGTAATTGATTAGATTGATAAGTTGACAACCTTGAAAATCAATAATTAAAGCGTAACACAATTGGAGATATTGGATAAACAGGGAAACAATTAACTCTAATCACAATTCAATTGTCGACAATTTAACAAGTCAAGTCTCGCCATCTAACGTACAATTGGTGAAACTGTTAATTGTAACTTTTTCTTAGCTCTTTAATTATTATCAATTAAACATGAATATCAATGGACTGAGAAAACATTTATGCCACTATTTAGCCCTGAGGGTGATTAACATTTACCTTTGGAGTTGTGAATGAAAGTTCAGAGAGAGAGAAAAACAAAAAGTTGAAATCGGAATTGGAATCAAATATTATTAAGATTTTCTTGATCTTCTAGTTAATCAATTGATCATATTAACTGGATATTTTCATAATTTGTGATAAATTATTGTCTGAGAGGGTAAATTGTGATTATAATTAACATCAATTATCATATTGTAATTGATATTATTACAATATGATGAATTTATATATATAAATTATTGTCACAATTTGACAATTACAATGATAGTATTAATAATGATCATTGATAATAATAATTTAAATATAACTTTTTTGTTCAACAACGAGTAAGAAAATTGTTATAACTTTAATCTGTAATAATCAATCATAATCATGATTATCATGATGGTGATTGTGATAATAATATTAAGTGGATGATGAATTAAATTAAATTAAAATGGAAAATAATTTACTTGAATGATAATAATGTCATTGGTTGAATTTTGATTATTACAGATTACAGTTATTTTCCTAGTGTTACATTGGTGTAATTTAAATTTTTCACTGATCATAATTTAGTTTTCAAACCAATGTAATGTAATTGTACAATATATATATATATGATAATTATTATCAGTTAATCATCATCACAATTTACCCTCTTATAATGATAATAATTGTAATCGTAATCATGATCAATTGATTTACTTTTGTAATGTTAACTTGAAAGTTTAATTTCAATGATAATCATTCATGATATTAATATGAGACAATTGAAATTGAGAATCCATTTGTTTAATTAATTGTTTGCCTGTTTTGTTTTTCTTTAATTGTTTCTAATTATACTAATTGTAAATCTAATCAACACACAATTTGTTTTGTTCATTCATAAATCATTTGATTTTCAAGGTTACCCCTATGACCTTGATTTAGTATTTTGATTTATTATTATATTAAAATTTATGCATCGATAATCAAGTGAAAAAAATAGATTAACAATTGATTATCAGGTAAACAATTAACACTAATTACTAATTGTACTATTATTATTATTATTATATAAATGAACAATTGAAATTTATTGTTTTATATGATTAACAATGTACAAGAAATTTAATCAATAAATTATCCGGGTTTTGTCATTGATTCAACCACCATTTAAGTTGATTAACAATTAATCCACAAAAGTAGATGAATAATTGTATTATTAAATGATAATCACACATTTAAGGTTAACAATTAACCAATTGATTTACAAGATTTACTTGATCATCAGTTGATTTGTTGCTGTTGCTTTTTTTAAGGAAGTAATCGTAACAATCAAGACCAATTAAGTCTTGATGGTGAACTATTTAACTCTTAATTGTTACATTAATATAAAGATGAAACAACTGATAACAATTTAATCAACTTTATCAAATGATTTGAATTGAAAACAATAGAGGACAATTTATTTTAATCTATTTAATCTATTGAAGATTCAAATTAATCCAAGTAATACAAGTCAAAGTTTTCATTATTATTGAGTTTTTCTTGGAAAATTTCATTACTCTATCTCCATCTATTGGCTCAAACAAAGTATCAAATTCACTGAGTTCAATTGTTCAAATGAACTTTCATAGATGGAGCCAAAAAAAGTTACGAAAATAATTGAACCTCAAAGTGAATACAAGTTATTAGTTGAACCTCTCAAAGTCTTTGACTCAGAATGAATAAAATGTGAAACTTTGAAGAAAAGAACAATTGATCAATTAATCTGATATCTATTCATTAACTGTTGAAACAAAAAGAAATAAATTACTTGAGAAAATTAAGAAAATGCCAATTCAATTTTCGCGCACAAAAATTTTAGTTATGTAATATTACGATAGATGTCGTAGCGAATGGCGTAGTAGCGTGAGGAACAAAGGAAGTTGAAATTTTAGATTTGGTGTCGGCTTGTTAACAATTTTTTCTTGTGTCAATTTATTTATATTTAATTATAATTAGGTGAGTAAATTTAAATATCAATTCAGTAATTTAACCATCGAATCAGTGTTAACTCACTTTAATTTGTTAATGTTCAGTTGAAGTTTGAATTTAATCTGTGTTTCATTTTTTTCTCTCTCTCCTCTTTACTCCTTTTCTCTCCCTTATTACTTTTCTCTTTTTCTCTTTCTTTTTCTCTCTCTCTCTCTGTGTTTCTTTTTCTTTTTTTTCTCTCTATCTTTTTCTATCAACTTACCTATCTTATCTCCCTCTTTCTATTGCTCTTTATGGTGCATTATTTTTGTTCCTTTTTTGTTGTATCTTTAGGTGGAACCAATTCTGTTCTATCGTCTATTTAATCGTAAATAAGAAGAAAAAAAGAAACATTAGTAACACAATATTAGTATTATTACAATGGTGGATCGAGGTGGAATGAGAGGTATGAGACCAGGACGAGGACGAGGAGGTACTAATACCTTCAGAAGTGAACGCGATAATGATTGGAGGAATCCTAAAGCAATTAACGAAGAGTCACCTGGTCATGGTGGTGGTGGAGGTGGAGGGTATGTTGCCGGTGGTGGTGGCGGTGGTCCTGCTAATTATGGAGGAGGATTTAATAGTTATAGAGGAGGTTCCAATAAAGGCTATTTTACTGGTGGTGGTGGTCATGGAGGTGGATATGGAGGTGGCGGTGGTTATGGTGGTGGTGGCCGTGGTTATAGTGGAAATGGTAGCTCATATCATCATCAATCAAATGCTTCATATAACTTTAGTTATAATCAACATGACTCAAGCGCCTGGACTCATTTACAACCTAAAAATGATATGCTTGAAAGAAGTTTATTTGGTGAAGGTCACACTGGAATTAATTTTGACAAGTATGAAGATATACCTGTTGAAATGTCTGGTGCTGAATGTCCTGAAAATGTTGAAAGTTTTAAAGATATCGAATTTACTGAAATAGTCCGTAATAACGTTGAACTAGCCGGTTATACAAGACCTACACCAGTTCAAAAATATGCTATCCCTGTAATCTTGAAGAAAAGAGATTTAATGGCCTGTGCACAAACTGGTTCCGGTAAAACTGCTGCTTTTTTGGCACCAATTCTTAATATGATCTTTGCTAATGGACCTCCAAGAGATATGCCACCTTCACGATCTGGTTCTAAGATAAAACAATATCCATTGGCTTTAGTTCTTGCCCCTACTCGTGAACTTGCTGTACAGATATACGATGAAGCTTGTAAATTTGCTTATAGATCATGTGTCAGACCTTGTGTTGTTTATGGTGGAGCTGATCCGGTCGCTCAAATGAGAGATTTAGACAAAGGATGCCAGGTTTTAGTAGCAACTCCTGGTAGATTGATTGATATGACGGAAAGAGGTAAAGTTGGACTGGATATGGTTAAATATCTAGTTCTAGATGAAGCTGATCGTATGTTGGATATGGGTTTTGAACCTCAAATTCGTAAAATTGTTCAACAAGATACCATGCCGCCGGTCGGTACACGTCAAACTCTTATGTTTTCAGCTACTTTTCCAAAGAAAGTTCAAGAACTGGCTCGTCAATTCCTTGACAATTATATCTTCTTAGCTGTTGGTAGAGTTGGTAGTACCTCTGAAAATATTACACAAAAATTTTATTGGGTCGGTGAATTAGAAAAAAGATCAATTCTTTTAGATATTCTTACAGCCGATGGATTAACAAACTCCGATCCTCGTAAGTTACCCAAATCAATCATTTAGTTCAATCTTTTTTCTCTCTCTCTTTCTCTTTCACCCTTTTCTATATTCCCCCGATGACTCTTATTCTATTTGTCTAAACACTCTTTTTTTAATTCTCTCACGTGCATATTACCATCATTAATTGATTGACAAGGCAAAAATTATATAATAATGACATCATTTCTTTTTCTCTTTTTCTCTACTTTTATTTTCGCTTTTTTTTTCTTTATACCTAATAGCAGCCTCTGATTCATTGACATTGGTATTTGTTGAGACCAAAAAGGGAGCTGATTCCTTAGAAACTTTCTTGGACCGTGAAGGATATCCAGTAACAAGTATTCACGGTGATAGATCTCAGAGAGAGCGTGAAGAAGCATTAATGTCCTTTAAAACAGGTCGAACACCGATTCTAGTGGCTACCGCTGTTGCTGCTAGAGGACTTGACATACCCAATGTGAAACATGTTATTAACTTTGATCTTCCAACTGATATTGAGGAATATGTTCACCGTATCGGACGTACCGGAAGAGTTGGTAATTTAGGTACTGCGACTTCATTTTTCAATGAGAAAAATAAAAACATGGCAGCAGATCTAGTTGATCTTCTAACTGAGGCTAAACAAGAAATACCAACATGGTTAACGACTCTCGGTAAAGACGTACAAAGTGAACAAAGGAGCTCTAATCAAAGAAAATATGGACAAAGAAGGTATTTTAATTTTGTTTCTCTAATCAAATCACAATTAGTGGAAATTAGCTTTTTTATCTTTGTTTTGTTTTTTATTGCGCTAATTTTGTTTCTTCCTCCTATTTTTTTTGTGATCTGTTTCTCTAATATTTGTACTAATGTTGTTTTTGCCATTTACTTTTCAATTTAGATTCGGTGCCGGTGGTTTCGGTTCTCGTGATTATCGTCAATTTGAACGAGGGGGTGTTCGTTCAAATGGTCCAAGTAGAAATGTCTCAAATGTTCCCTATGGAAGTAACAATTTTGCTGGCTACAATGGAGCTGCTCCTCCTCCTCAACAACCACAACAACAGGGTGGCTCATACATGGGCTATCGTGGGGGTAATTCATACGGCGGTAATTACAATTCAGGAACTGACTGGTGGGGGGGTTCTTAAACTTAATTCGTAATTTTTTGTAACACATATACAAACACACTAACAAAACTACACAACACAAACAACAACAACACACACACACAACACAACACAACACACACTCTCTCTTTCTCTCTATCTCTTGAAATGACAATTGAAAATTGTCAAAACTCCTTTTGATTGTTTCAATCATTGAAACAGTCAAAACAATGATAATAATAATTAATTAATCTAAAAACAAAACAAAAAAGAAATCAACACGTAAAAACGGATTATCTCAAAATGAGGATTTTGAATACAAGTAACAAACAAAACAAAACAAACAATTAACAAGATAACTGATCAATCCGAATGAAAAAAAAAACGAAATCATATCTGAGTCAAAATAAACTATTTATACTTTATCCGATTAATCTAAACTACTACTACAATTACCACGGATTATGATGATGATGATGATTAAAAGAATAACAATCAAAAATGAGAACAAAAAATTAACGGATTTTTTTCTCTCTCTTCTCCTTTTCTTTACAATCAACTTTCTAGCAATTATAATTTTCCTCAAACTCCTAATCTAAATCCTCTTGATTGTAATATGTTTAACTTAAACTCTACGATAGTGTTGATAAACAACAGGAACTCAATTTGATATTGATGATAATTCATCACATGTTATTGACACGTTGCAACTTTAATAAACTAAATTTGAGTAAAAATAAATCAAAAATTATCTTACAAGTTACATGATGAAAATTGAAACTATTACATGGAAATGAAATTCTGGTCATTTTATCATATTTGGAAAAACAAATCTAAATTCTGTCAAAATTGTCAGAAAAATTTTTCAATTTTGTTTATGACAGAAAATTTTTTTCTTCATCTTCACGATAATATTTGAACTTTTTCTTTATCATTGTTTATTATATTTACCAAGAGAATATTTTTATTCATCAAAAATTAGAATTTATCTTTTGATTTATCATTTAGATTTATTTAAAATCTTCCAAGAAAATGGTCAACCGATGAACCTTATTCGCGGGTCCAGAGATAAACCATTAAAACACCACGAATATTATTACTTTTTCATGTGGATTCTATTTTATTCAACACTCGTGCATTTGTCCAGAGCTTTCAATCGGAAAAATTTAATTATTTTCTACAATTCGATGCAATCAAATTATGAAGAGAAAATTGAAAAGGAAAAGGAAAATTTCAAAAAAGGCGCTTTTCTCTCCTGGTGGATGTTAAAGCAAAGAAAAAGGATAAGATTTTAACTCGAATACTTTGTCTGAGATTCTCATTACATCAAAAGTCTGCCACTGAATAACTTGAAACTGTGATCAATCAATTTAATTTTATCTTTGTTTGTACTAATTTATATCTTTCATGTCTTTTTTTCCGCCACTCCTTCCTCATCTTTCTCCGATTGATTCACCATTACAAGGTTTACCTTTCCACTCTCATCATCCCCACCATGCTTGGTCTCCGACACCTTCACAAGCCCAAACTCAACAACAACAACATCACCATCACCAACAGCATCAGCAACAGCAACAACAACAACCTCACCTTCATCAACAATCTCAACCACAATCACAACATCATCACCACCACCAACAACAACAACAACAACAACAACAACAAGCTCAATATGCTCGCCATTTATTTGATCTTTCTCGACCCTTTACAACTTACCCGTTCGGTTTTCCCCCTTCAACAACGGGAATTATTGAAAATAGTGGACATGGTCCAAGCTCTTTGAATCCGGGAGCCTTTATCAATGGTCACCTTGCTCATCCATATCCATCAATATTTGTTAATCATCATCATCACCTTTGTCCTGAACCATGTTGTGCCATTTCACCTTATTTGGCTGCGGCTGCGGCTGCGAGGTTACCACCATCTTATTCAGCCAATTCACCTTCACCTTTTAAAAATGGAACTAAAGTAATCCAATCAAATAATAATAATAATAATTCGATATCTCTTTCTAATTCATCTACAACCAATAATAATAATGTTGATTATAGTGATACCAATAATATAAATCAACAGCGAAGTGTTATCAAGCAACTTATTGATTATAAAGTTCCAAAAAGTGAAAATTTCAACAGTTTACTTGAAAAGCCTTTACAACAACAATTAAATACCTCAAATCGTATTAATAACAATGGTGGTAGTGTCTCAATCAAAAATGGAGCTGAAGATGTTAGTGTAATTAAACAGCTAATAGATTACAATATATCACCTAAACATAATATTAATAATAATAATAGTTTTACTAGTTTACTGGAAAAACCTAATCAACATTCAACATTAAATAATAATTGTGGTTTTACAATTAAAAGTGAAAAAGGTTCCGGTAAAAGTGGAGGTGATGTTAGTGTGATAAAGCATATAGATAGCAAAGTATTTCCAAAAAATTTCAATAGTTTACTAGAGAAACATAATAATAATAATAATAACCATCATCATCATCATCAGCAGCAACAACAACAACAACAACAACAACATCAGCCTAAGCAAAATCAGCTTCATCAACAGCAACAGCAACAGAAACAATCTCATCATCGACAGCATCAAAATCATCATCAACACCAACCAAACACACCAATTAATGGTAGTCAAAGTAGTGATAATGGTTTCAATAAAAGTGGAAACGGTGATATAAGTGTAATCAAGCAGCTCATTGATTACAAAATATTTACTAAAAATAGTAACTCAACTAGTATACTTGAAAAGCCAGTACAACAACAGCAACAGCAACAACAACAACAACACCAACAAAACACTAATAGTCGTAAAATTAACGGAGGGCTAAATGGATCAAATAAGAGTGGAAATGATAGTTTTTCCTCTATTGAGAAAAAAACTATCGAAGTGCAATGTGATGGACCAGATTGGACACCGATCGTTTTATCATCTAAACTGAAACAATGTGTATTTAAACAAATGTCGAAAAAGAATCAACCTTCGACAACTAATAATATTACTTCTTGTAATAATAATAATTCTACTACTACTAATAATAATACCAAAAATAATGGATACAATAGTGTAAATAGTAATAGTAATTTAAAACATAGTCTAATTGATCCAATTGATACTTCAAGGAAAAGGTTAAAATCTGAGGCACGTGGAACATCAACCGGTTCAACAAATGATTCTAATCGACATGTAACAATAATATTACTCCCATCACCATCTCCACCACCTCAGGTAGTTACACCTCCACCTCCACCTCCACCATTAACATCATCAGCACCGTTATCATCATCAACGTCATCGTCATTATCATCAACATCAACATCAATTTCTATATCAACAACAATAACATCAGCCTCAATTTCAGCACCAACAGTAATATCAACTGCATCTCCAACAGAAACAACAATATCATTAACAAATTCAACAACAGCAACATCAACACCAACACCAACACCAACAACATCAACGACCAAACCATCAGAAGCAAAATGTTCAATTACAAATTCATTAAAATCATCAACAGCAATGACAACGACAACGACAGCAACAACGACGATGACAACGACGATGATAACAACACCAACACCAACAGTAATTAAAACTTCAACTATATCATCAAGCAAGAAAATCATTGATGTGGAATCAGCCCCAACTAAAACAAAAACATCGCTATCAACACCAACGTCAGCAGTATCAAAACCATCACAATCAATAACTGTGACGATACCACCACCCACACCAACAAAAGTTTCAATAAAAACACCGGGATCCAAGTCAACACAAGCATCATCATCATCATCAACAACAACAACAACAACAAGTAGCACAAATAGTCAACAACGTGTTCGCCGTCGACGTTTCCGTTCAGGATTAGACATGATAAGAAGCTCAAAGAATCGGAAAAAGGCGAAACAAGCCAATTTATCAAAACTCAATTCTAAATTGTCTGAAAAAACGATCTCACCAAAAGGAAAACTAAAAAGCATCAAAAATGATCTTAACGATGTGATTAATAAGCAAACGATTAATAATTTTGATGATGCATCTTCAACATCATCTTCCATTACCACAAACACTTCAACACGAAACAATTGCAGTGGCAATGGTGGTGCCGGTGGTGTGGGAGGTAATTTATCACCTTTATCAGTTCCCATTGAGATTAAACGTTTAATGGTTAACAAAGCGCTTGGTGAGACGGTATTACACAGAGCAGCCCGACAAGGTTATACTCATATTGTACGACATTGCCTAACAACGGGCACTTATGATATAAACGCTCGTGACAATGCCGGTTATACACCTTTACATGAGTGTTGTTCACGAGGTCATCTTGAGATTGCTCGTGCCTTATTGGAAAATGGTGCTGATGTCGATTCATCGGCAACCGGTGGTGTAAGACCTTTTCATGATGCCGTTGAAAGTGATCACATTGAAACGGTACGATTGTTATTATCTTATGGTTCCGATCCAACAATTGCCACTTATACAGGTACAACACCTTTAAAACTTGCCCGATCATCAAAAATGATCACCTTCCTCCGTGGTGTAATTTATGACCTTACAGGTGAAATACCGTTACACCCTGATACCAATAAATGTGATCGACTTGTTCCACCCTGGAAATTTGAAGGTTCATCTAGTTTTCTCGATGAAAAAGTTTTCAGTGGTTATAATGTGTTCAATGAAGATTCAATTCCATGTGATGAAGAGTCTGATGAATTTGATGATATTATGATAGAAATAAGCGATTTACCTCATCTTGCTACTTATCGAATCAAATCGGGAGCAGCTGTATCAATAAGTAAACCAGCATCATCATCATCATCATCATCAAAACCATCGGAAAAATCAAGTAAGACCAACAAGAAAACCACCTCGACATCAACAACAAGCAACACTGTTGATACCAAGAAAAACATGTATACCCAGAATTATCTGAAACTTTGTGATATCCTCAAACAATTGGATCTCTCAAAGAATCAATTCTTAACCAAATATAAGAATATTGAAATTTTGTGCCTATCAACAATCAACTTGGAATCAAATGTTCTCACCTCTTTTAAAAATTCATCTCAACAATCAACATCATCAGTTGAGGAATCATCACAATTAAGCGAGCTAATTTGCTTGGATGATCCTATCCGCGAAATCCTTGGTATTGAAACCCTTAGGGTACCATGAGAATGAATGAATTTCTTTTTTCATCTCCATCTCCATCACCATCATCATCATCATCATCAACATCCTTTTAACATGTAAGCAGAAGTGATAAAACTAATCACACTGTAAACACAATCAACACCAACCCATCAAACAACATCAAATTAACTTATCCTCTCTCTATTTATATCATCAACATCCTTGTACATTTAATTTTTATATAATATTTTTCACTGTTAGGATGACAAAAAAAACAAGATAATCTCTCTCTTTCTCTCTCTCTCTCTCACTCTCACTCTACCTCTGGACATTTTATTTCTGTCTTGCTACAATCACTGCTTATGAACATTTTTATTTTCCAGCTCCTTTCTCTCTCTCTCTCTCTCTCTCAGACATGATGATGATGATGACCACGAATCATCACCTAAGTGATCAACCTTTGATGCTTTATAATGATCACCTTTTGATTACCTTTGCTGGTCTTATATTGACTGCAAAAAAAAACGACGGCCTAATTTTCAAGTTTACTGAATCTGTGGTTATGTAAATTGTATTTTTCTCATCTCATCTTCCCCACACATGAACCAACCTCATCTTCTCATCATCACATTTCTCCCTTTTATCATCATCTTGATGATCAGTTTTCTTGCTCTTTGTCCAAACATATTTTTAAAGTCAAACCATCAACATAAAAAAACCATTGACATTGTGGGTTTTTTTTTCATTCATCTTGTGAAAAATACTATGAGACCAGAACTTAATCTGTAATATATTTATACAAATATATATATAAATATATAGATATGTAATATTATTATTATTATTTGACAACAAATGCCAATCTTACCAGACACTAAATTATAACAGTAAAGATAAACATCTAATCAGCTGATGTTTACCAAAAAAAAAACTTCCAATAGGCTCAAACTTTTATTTCGCCATCACAATTAACTAATTTTTGCCTTTTCTCTCCCTCAGCATTTGCAGTTTTCGGTTGCAAATCTTTGACACTTTATCAATAATCTTACAATTGCTCTCTAACTGTCACCTCCTTTGTCTCTATCATCACCACCATCAACCTCTTCCATTAAAAGTGCCAAAGTGTTTTTAATCATCTAATTATTGACAAATTTAATCCTTAATTGTGAATATACTACCATCTCAATTGGATTCAATATCTTATTGTAAGAGTGAGTGTGTATGTATATGTGTGTGTGCTCAGCTTCAGGTCTTAACAAAGAGGGAGAGAGAGAGAGAGAGAGAAGAAAAAGTTTCTCGTTTTTATCATCTTCTCCTCTTCATCTTCATCCTTTTCTGCATCACCCCCTTTCTCCTCTCTCTCTCTCTCTCTCTCTCCATGCAACCTCCCATTTTACTTCTCCCTCTCTTCTTCCATTATTATTATTATTATACCATCAATTCACTTATCAAGTATATTGCTGGGAAAAAAGGGAGGAGGCTCTATGACTTGCTTTGCCCTTCAGGCGGGCTGAAAATACCATTTATACGCAGAGAAGATGAAGAAGATGATGATGATGAAAATAAAAAGGAAAGAGAGGATGATGATATTATGGACAGGAGAGAAAGAGAAGAAGAAAGAAACTAGTTTAAGGGGTAGAAAGAAGCTCACATAGTTTGAGGAAAAAAGAATGAGAAGAGAAGAAGAAAAAAATACAGGAAGATTAACAGGCAAGAGAAAGAGAAGAAGATGGAGAAGAAGATAAAATAGAGAAGAAGAGGATGTTAAGATGATAAAAGAGAAAAAGAAAGAGAGTGAAAGAAAGAAGATGATAACCAGAGAGAGAGAGAGAAAGTTGAATCCATGCTGCTTATTTTTCCTTCTCTTTTTTCATCTCTCTCTCTCTCGTCTTTCATTTCTTGTTTCTCTCTTTCTCTCTCTCTCTCTACTTGTATTTCTTGTCAAAATGATGATTTCTTTTTCATCATCATCAAAGCAAAGTAACAACAAAAAAACGCACAAAATCAATGATGATTTGGTTACAATGAATGAAGTTGAATACATGTAAATAATAATGATGATAAATATGATGAAAGCATTTGAAAGTAATCAACAAAGATAAAGTTCAGTTAAAGCTCAGTTAATACCGATTAACATGCAACTACAATGATAAAAAAAAATAAATGAAATTGGATTTAATTTTCTTGTTACATTCAATTGTATTGATCGTCATAAGGAATAATAATATTATTATTATTGTCATTTCAACATTTAGAATTTAAATTATGCCAATCAACTGATTATATGGAGTTTAATTGTTACAATCATTTAATTTGATTTCCTCTCATAAAAACAACAATCCAAACGGATTATATACTAACTTGTTGACCTCTATTTACATCATCATCTCATCTTGATGTCAATCTTAATCATCATCATCATCATCTCTCTCTCTCTCGGTCGCTGATTATTCAACACTAAATGCTTCAGAATATGAAATCGCTGTTGTTGGGAAAACTTTCAACAATCAACCAACAATTTGCAACCTCTTCAAAGTAGCAAAGTCTGAAGAAAGAGAAAAACTTTTTACATCTTTATAATTGCTCGTAAGGAGTAAAAAAAGCAAAAGTAACAACCTCATCATCATCATCATCAACATGATCATTACCAACATCATTATCCAACATCATCACTCTGCTCATCATTTGCAAGCCCCACGAATTGAGTATAATAACATTTCAGAACCAAAAAGAAACGTAAGAAAAAAGTGAGTAGAAACTTATTCCTCTCTCTCTCTCTCTCTCTCTCTCTCTGATCATTTCATTGATCACCAAATCAAATCAAATTATTTATCATTGACAATTAACCAATTAACAAACACTATCATCGTCATCACCATGATAATTATCAAGAGAAACTTCAGTATTTTGATGAACACACAATGAGAGACATATTAATACATAATAGATTTCTACATAAATAGTAACAAAAAGATGAAGAAAAAAAAACTTTTTTTTCTATTGTCGTTAACTGTTGATATTCTGATGACTTATTTGCTTGATTGTTAATCATTATTAACAAATTGATTGATTGATAATCAATGAGATAACATACACAATGTGTAATTCGTGAGACTCTATTTGATTCTGTTTGATTGTTGCTTGATTATATAAGAAAAAAATAGTTTACATCAATTTTTCCCTTTTTCTTGTTCGTTTTTTTTTCTGGTGCACTTTTTATACAACAATCAATGCAAACACACACACACACAATCAAAGTTAATTCAGTTTGGTTGTAAGCAAGTACAAGGTGAAAAAAGGTTAACCTTACCTGTAAAAAAACAGTTGAAAAAGGTAAACAAACAGCAATCAACAAATAAACAGTTAGTGTGTTGATTAAAATCAAGTTATGATAGTTAACCAACAATTTAATTGACTTTGTCTTCTAACAATTTAAAGTTTATAATGAGCACTTAAAATCGGATCGTAGCTTGAAATCGTAACGTTACAAACCTTTTTTTCGTTACTCTTTCGTTGGTTCAATGAGCTCGTTTCATTTTCATCGAATTCGAGATTTAATTTTCTATTAAATTTTTTTTAATTTTCTTCTCAAATTGTTGCCCAAAGCTTCAATATCGTAATCAACTCGAGGTTTCTCAATAATTATAATGATGATGATGATGATGATAGTAATCATTTCGTTAAGCATATTCATATAACCATGATGATCATCATAAACATTTAAGTCTTACTTGTAGTTTTCGCTTGAGGCATTTTCCTTCATTTTCATCATGTTGATGTAACTTTCAATGATTTCTCGTTAACCATGGTTGTGATAATTAAGGCTTCTGATTTTTAATTCAGTTATTCAATCAGTAATTGAGATTTTCATGGAAACCATGACTTTCTATCAGTCTTTCAATTAGAAGCCTTGAGTTGAAAACAACAGTTATCTGCCATTTCTTATCATCCACATTATCCTTAATCTTTGTCATCATCATTATCATCCTACCTTCACTTTCATCATATTACTTTTATCATCCTCTCCCTCTCCCTCTCTTCATTGATTATCATGATGAAAGCTACAGTTTTTTTTCATATATTAACATTATATCAGCAAATGATTATTATGTTTACTTGTTATAATGATGTTGATTTGTTGATTAATATGGTTAACCTTAAACAACAATTTGTCAATTACAATTATCCAACAGTTAATCCAGTTAGTTTGTGATCTAATAAATTTTTTCCCATTTCAAAACCAAAACTCATTTTAAGCGAAACCAATTGATTTAAACTTTGATACTTTGCATTTCCGTTTCTCTGTACAAATGATATTATTTTCCTACATCACTTTGACTTTTAATTGTTATTACAATTAAAAACAATTCTCGCTCATTTAATTGTGAACCATTGCTATTTAATGATATAAACAAAGAGGATGCAAATCCATGTAAATATAATATGAATTACATTTCCTTGATTAACAATTTTAATTGTAAACTGTATCATCTTGACACACACAAGACTAATTAGTTAATGAATGATAATTTTATATCTACTTCTTGATTTCACAATTGAATCAAATCAATTGACTTTTTGATGATTTACTGAGATTCATTGTATTGAATAGTGTGTGTGTGTGTGTGTGTGTGTGTGCATCAGACTAATTGTTGTAGTTTAATTGTAAATCAATTAATTGCAATTGATTTGGAGCTGAAATGTAAAAATAAACAGGCAAAAGTCAAACCACTCACTCTCAAGGCTTATGACCTTAAAACATAATAAAAGTATCAAAGTAAACAGATAAACAATCAAAGTATTGCAATGAGAAGATGATAATGATGATGATGATGATGACGATGATGATAAGGATGAGGATGAGGATAGAAATGATAGGATATGCATTTCCGTTTTATCATTTTGTTCTGTAAAAATTTTCTCTTCTTTTTTTTCGCTTCTTTATTTTTCTTTGAATCTCTCATCCTCTTTCATCCCTATTCCATCCCCATCATCATCATTCTGATCATCATCTCATCTCATCTTCTTGCCTCTTTTGCTTATCACTCTCTTTCTCTTTTCAAGCAAGAACTTTTTTTCTCTTCTCTTTGACTAGTCTTTTCATCCTTCATCATCATCACCTTCATCTTCTCTCTTTCATTTCACGCATGCCTCTCTCTCTCTCTCTCTCTCCGATCATCATCATCATCTCCCAGAATCGAGTTACTTCTGTTATTTTATCGTTGCTCTCATACATGTAAAGATGTTCCATTTATCTTTTCTCGGGTCAAACTGGCTTTCATGCTAATCTTCAACTACGAACCAATTTTTACTCAGTGAATTAGTTTATTGTCTGATAACATTATCAAACGTGTTAAAATCAACAATGGAATGTCAAGCCGAAAAAACGAAATCTCCAAAGAAATCCTCCAGGAAAAGGCAACTGGAATCTGAAAACACGGTGAACAAAAGACGTATGATAATTGACCAAGAAGAGGAAATTGACGAGGTAAGACAATCTTTAACAACACGATCTTTACAAATCTCACGTTAAATAAAACTGTTCTTGGGATCTAATATCCTTAATATTCTTGGTTCTTTTATAGAACTCAACCATGGCAACTATTCATCAGTTGTTATCTTCATTAAAGAGACTTGATACAAATCCGGAAACGAACCTCTTTCAACAATGGGCAGAAAATCTTGACGATGCAACTATCAATGAAATTTTGGATGAACTTGATAAATACTTAGAACAAACGCCTGAAGGTGAAATCAACTGTGAAGAGCTATCAATTCTATCCCTCTTTCTACTACAGAGTAAAACCAATCCAAATCTAATAACAATCTCTAAGGCAGTACCCAAAGAGATTGACCCCAGCTTGGTAAATCAAAGAGATGGCCAAAAACAGAACATCTTCATAAACTACACGAGAGGAGACAAGATACTAGACCACTGGCTTGATGTTACGAAAATAGAGATTAAACCCACAATTATCATTACGATCCTTGATGGTGAAAACAAAATGCTTGATGGTTTTAGTACAAAATCTATTTTTGGACAACTATATGATGAAAAAGGTAAACATCATGTATACATTGATACCACAATTCCACTCAAGAATAGTATCAAACTCATCACTGAAACTGATATGACAAGAAAACTCATCCTTGAAGAGCTAAATGAATTTAGACACCCGACATATACCCTCAAATCAATGGTACCCCCACTAAAAGATCCAACGATCTTCTTCATTGCAAATAATCGCGTCACTGA